CGCTTGAGTAGGGTGCAAAACATGTTCCAAAATTCTTTTCTAAAGAAAGTGTTACCCAAAAAGTGGAAGTTTGCTATTCCTTATACTAAAATTCCTCCAAATTTCTGTATTGACATTTGTGCTTTTGCTGCCATTAAAATTCAGGAATCCAACGTGCAGGTCAGTATCTTGTCCAATTGCGTAAATTGTGGTTTTTTTTATTTCAGTCAGTTGTTAGCCTCTTTTGTGATTTGACCGTCTTCTGCCACCTCTTGTGTTTTAAGTCCGTTCCAGATTCTCCCCTCTTGTCCTTTTAGCTGAATAACTGCTCATGCAAAAGATTTGACTAGTAGACAGGACCTCAACCTCATTAGATATTGCGTAGTGAAATCTTTAGTAAACAGCTATAAAGAGAGAAAAGTTATCCAATTTTCCTTAGTCACCGTAAGTACGACTTCTCAGAACATTTAAAACACCGTCACCAAAACTACGTAAAACACAGACCACTTTCTATCTCAGCAAAAAAATTATATACGCGAACAAACATTCAATCATTGTCAGATATCAACATGTACTCTTTTTCAGTCAACTGACGAGTGTTTCAAATCGAATCAGATTCAAACGTCCCACAGTAAATAAGTGCTTTCAAACAGACCGCTGAGCTAACATTGTAAATTACTTTTCCATCTCCAACCTTCCATTTCTACTCTGGTCGCTTTCATTTCACAGCTTTGTAAGGATGAGCAAGCGGCAAAATCCCTAGTCCTCATTGACGGTTATTATAATGCAAAAAAGAGAATTAATCAAATTTTACATATACCTCAAAAATAAGAAAAAAAAAGGAAAAATTGAACAACCGATTGTTGATTACCAAATACTTAATCTTACGAACATATGAAAAAAAAAAAAAAGAGAAAACGAAAATAAACAATCACAACAAACAACTTTTCTTCGTACGATCACCATTACAAAAAGAGTACCAGAAACGTAATTAAAGCTTGTATAGTTGAGAATTACAGATAATATCAACAAGCACAACCGACTTCCTATACATACTCATTTACAAAAGCCAGTTCTTGAAATGAATTTGGAAAACAACTTCCTCTGAAACACACATCCACACTACTCGTGAAAACTGTATCTAAGAGGTGAACTTGTAAAAAGACATATTCATCATGTCAATGCATCTAATTGAAAATCTTTGTCTCAAAAACAATTTTTTAACAACCACAAAATCATCAACATCAATAATCAGTAAAAAATAAAGCTCAGATGTTAATAAGAGAAATAAATCAGAAAAGTACCACTTCCTTTCCCATTGCTAGCAGTCTTTTAATGACTATAGGAAGGCAAACCAAAATCCTCAGGATGAAACTCCTCAAAACTATTTACCACTTTATCAATGTTTTCTGAAACCTCTTCTGGAGGTGCAAAAAACCTGCTATCGCAAAGCATCACCACATGCATGCCCGCTGCGACAGCAGCACGAACACCGTTTGGTGAATCTTCAAATACCAACACATTTTGAGGTGATTTTGGAGGCAACGGAAACCGTTTCATTGTCACCAGAAAAGCATCAGGAGCTGGCTTACCTTCGTGGATATCAGGATCGTCATTAGCTACCTTGAAAACACCAACGTTATTAAAACATATAGAAATTCCTCGCTTCACTTTGTAATAACCCAACCGTTTACTAGTTCCTACATAAACTCTCAAATATACCAGGAACGACTTCAGTTATAGGTCCATGTGAGCACAGTTGCCAGGAATTTATGATTAATTAATGAGTTAAAGTTGAGTTAAACTGAGAATACGTAATGAGTGGTATGTACACTTCAAAAAATAATAAGGTTTACACAGAAAGTCAAAAGTGATGAACCTTGCCCTTTCCTTACTGGGAGACTATATCTACCATTTGTACGAAAATAGTTTGGCAAAATATTCCCCGTCAAACATGTACTCCACCATCGGCTTTATAAAACTTCTTTCTCATGCTAAAATTGGAGAGGGACTTCGTCAGCGTGAAAATCTCGCCAGATGAAGTCATTTAGTTGCGAAAACTGTTTCCCCGTTTTAAAACCTGCTAATCTACCTATATTTTCTGCGCTAATAAAACTTCAGCCTTACCTCAAGCAAAAAACCTTTGACTGTACTACAAAATTTTACCACGAAACTCCTACATCAAAGCGGGACGGACCTACCTCATTAAAATACAACAGCAGCTTTGTATATAACCCCTCAAAGTACTTCACTGAATTTAAACAAGAATTCTTACAACGCTTGCCATGACGTCCGTAACCTCTTTGTGATTCTGCAGCTTTAGATTGCATTCCCAACGTTGAGAGCCTGAGCAGATAGCCATTGGAATTTTACACGATGCCAAATGTCGTATTATCCGGAGAACACCAGGCATCAACTGACTTTTGGGCAATTCTGTTTGACACTCAACATCTATCGCGTTTCCCAGATCATCAATAGTCATTGTACCATCAAGAGCCATCTAAAATAAAATGTTGCGAGCAAGAACACTACACAGGCATGCTCAAACACAAGACTGATGATTCTGAGTCCTTAATGTGATATAATTCAGCCTTTTGTAAACAATGAACGACTCTCATCCCAACAATTGAAAAAATGTTACAAAATTTACCAAATTCTTTTATTTGTATCAGTACCATTTTATGAAAAATCTTCATCGCTGGGACCCTTGGAAGACCAGTTACAGCAGTATATACATCGTCAGTAAACACTTTCCCAATTTTTGCCATAACTTTTATAAATATTTGTTTATATATAATTTCTGAATCAAGCAATGTCCCATCCAAATCAAATATTGCATGTGTTATTTCAGGCTTGCTCATCTGAAACGTCTTCATTAAAAAATTTCCATATCATCTCGCACTTTTAATTTTGCAAAACAAAGCCACGTTCAAACATCCAAAAAAAACAAGTTATATATATATATATATATATATATATATATATATATCTGTCATAGACTCAGTAAATATTAAGCTTTTTCATACTCATGCCCTCAACCCTAGAAAAGCGAAGGGTAAAATGTAGAGATAATCAGTAAATAAGTCTAACCAACAAGTCTGCTCTTTGCTTCGCAGTCTAATGACTATATTACTGCAAATAAATGACACGTTGAAAAAACACTGTCACTAACGAGTGGAATAAAACTTGATATTACGAGGCTCAAAAGAAGTTGTAGAGCTGATTTCTAATTTTACCTTAGCAGTTTTTCCACTGAAAGACAACCGAACGAAGTTTCGGCAGCTTCATCCCTAGCCTCATATATGTATTCCGTCTCTTAACAGATCTTTTCGCCAAAAAGTGGCTGCATTACGGACTTTATTTTGGTGTCTTCTAAAATCTCTTCACCAAACTGAAAGACATCCATACGAAATGATGCGTGACAAAATATGAAGCAAAAGGCAAATTTGTTGAAATATGCGCCAATATCTAACAGTAACACTCAGCAAACCTAGCAGCCAGTAAAACGAGCTAACCAAAGGGAATCCAATATTGAAAGCAGCTTCATAATGTTATTCTATTCTGAGGCTGGAAGCACTTCCGTTGTGCAAAAGATTTGGATGAAAGGACTCCAGTGACTGATCTATTACATAAGAAACATTAAAATCACACTGGAAAAGCAGCAAACCCATCAAAGAAGCGGGACAAAAAGCTGACTGCGATATTGAAATTATACATCACAGTTTCAAAAGGAAGTAATTCTGAGAAGTGCAGCCTCCACAATTATGTGCAATAGCAAGTAAGTGAAAAGTGAATGTAAACATAAACAAAACACCTCTACCGGTCAACTGTCACTAGCAAATCCTATGCAAGTATCTTCATAAAAAAACTACCGTGAAGCCATTGAACAAGCACCAGAAATAAGCAAACTGTCGACATTTCACAAGTCACTATATCATCCCATCGACGAAATACTACCAAGGTGGTCTCCGCTAGATCGCATCCAGTCCAGCCACAGCTCCTTCTATCATTCAGGAAGATGGGAACCGGAGTTATAGCACTTTCAAAGGACAACCAATCCTGACAAAACTTTATCGCTATGGAAGTCTGCCAAAGCGCCATTTGCGAAATGTCGAGAATGTGCGTTGAGGATCTGCCAGCTTGTAAAGGAATGAAGAATTTTTTGTTGAAAGTTTTTAGGAGCTTATGCTAAAACTTTAGTTCTGATGATAACCAGCAATTAGGCAACGTGAATTTCTGAATGGTGGACGAGGTTAATCAAGAAATTTTTAAAAGCAGATGAAAACAATTTGAAATATTCATTGAACTGCGGGTGTTAACACATATAATGACTATTTTTGACCTTAGTCGCAAGTAAAGAAAATACGCAGGTATTTGTGAAAAAAATCTTTGAAATTATTGCTAAGTTCTTAGACTCGGCTAAAATTAGTGAACTCAGAATAGCCCACACACTATAAGGAGGAGGTAGTTTAGCGAAATAGCAAGAAAAAATTCTTTCTTGTCATACCAGCCCGTGTTTTGAACGTTGGAAATTTTAATGTCGCTAAGACGAAAAGCAAAAAAGTAGATTTTAGAGTTGACAAATGCACATAATTTTTTATCTTTTGGTACTGACAAAGAACATAAAATGACTTCAGAATGACATTGCGTGACGTGGACAACAACCGAAAGAAAAATTAGTGCACGTAACAGTTCCACTGATAGGTAAAGCGTGAAAAAACTAGTCTCGTAGGTAGTATATGGGTCATTTTTAATTGATAATATCTCTCTTAAACGTCTGATTTGAAGCAATAAATTCTGTTTAAAAGCAGAAACCAAGCTGAACTCTACGTCATTTTGAAAGCGACTTTTCTGACAAAAACACTTGATTGCAAAGCAATAATTAAAGAAATTTTAGCATCACTAGCCAAAAATTCGCGATTTATTAAATAAACGGATTTCCTTTAATAAGAGGAATATAAGAAGATAAGTAAGCAGCTTTGTCCGTCATGAAATTCTATGTACTGAAAAAATATAGATATTAAAGACCATCTTGAAGAAATTAATTACTCGCACAAACAAAAGCCTAACAATCATCTTGGTGTAATAGAGAAATCTCCGTCAGCTCATCAAAGAATCTGTTTTTAAACCTTAATTTAGATTCTGAGGTACAAGTTGGGGCAGGGCTGTTATAATAAACTGTGCACTGTGACAATTATTCAAAGAGTAACTAAGTAATTGCCAACTTCTAACAGCTCATTTCGCTTGATTACTTAAAATATACCAATTTGCACATGTAAATTTGCTAATAACTTCAAGTCTTTTAATAACATCACCTTGCCCTGTTTATAAAATTCACCTTAAAATATCATCAAAGAACGGTATTAAGATACACTGCCGACGAACTGTTCTTCTTATTACCTTCTCGTTTATTTGGTTTTTATCTAAGCTACACTATATTCTAACTACAAAAAGAAATCAGAAATTCTTATGTTTCGTACGAAACTTCGAATCTCACAGACAAATTTTAATTTTATAATAATATGTATTTTAATCAGTAAATCTGAGCCGCTTTTCTGATCAAAGTTTCTAACAAATTTTGTCTATACGTCCAAAACTTAAAAATGCCCAAATTTTTTTGCTGTACAGTTGTTTTCAATGGTTTTGCAAAATTGTAAAAACATTGGCGGTTTTCATTCTAAAAACTACTGTTGATTCAAATAGCAGTTTCAACGCAATTTAAATCTATGAGCAAAAATTCAGTCAAAAATTTATTCTGTATTAGAAAACATTATACGATTTTATTTGACAATGCTCTATGGTTGCTTTTTTTTGTGCTATCTAATCCGTCGATAGCGGTCTTCTTTTGCAGTAAAAGATCGGTAAAAACTTGTCTAAAGCTTCATAAAAACCAAAACTTATTTGTTAAATTTCCTATAGCTTCTTAATATAATCGAGTTTAACAAGAATCCTTTGGCTCTTTTCAACATATATCCGCATCGAACCTGTTAGCTAACACTATTCCAACTAAATTTCTTGACACTACAACTCTGTCTAGATGCAGCTTCTCAATTAGGAAGAGGCTTACAATTATAATATCCTCAATGCTAATTGCTACTGCTGCCAGTTTGCGAGAAAAAAAAGATTTTGGCTGAGACTTTTTTGGACGAGAGACCTGTACAGTATTTTTGCCTATTCTACTGCTCAGATAATGGTCAATGTTTTCTTCTGAGACAATATTTATTTATACTTCTATTAATTAGCATTATCAGTTAATTAAAATCTTTAAAAACAAACATTTGTTCTTACAAAATTGATAATAATGGTTGAAAATTAGACGAGCAAAGCATATGACAAGAAGATATCTTTCTGCAACAAAATTTGTTGATTTTGTTTCTCAATTCCTATATTAAACTTACGTGCAGTCACTAAGCGTACAACAGTTCATCCATACGCGATGAATTCGATTCAGTATTTAAGGTTTCATCTCTGCGTGAGCAACGATGAAAAAAAAAGTAAAAATTGAAAGTTACAATATAAACAAGTTTTCTAAAAGGCTTCAACATATATCAGCCAAATAGAAGGAATGAAGTTGAAGCTGAAAATCTGTTTTATACATGTGAAGGCCAAAAAGTAACAACTACCACAACCAGAAATTTCTAAACAATCAATGAAAGAAAAATAGTCTTTATCACAGATGTGGTTAACCCTTTGATACAGTATCATATCTATTGTTTTTGAAGAATCATTACATGAACAATACTGATTAAACGCTATTTGTTCACCTTAGAACAAAATAATTTTTACCTTTTTATTTTTCCATGCAGTAATGCCTTTTTAAGTTATCTCTAATTTTTGCTGCACGTTATTATCCTTTGGAATCAAATTTCATAACTGCGTGTCTCGAAAAAAAAAATAACAAAAAAACCCTCTCACAATCCTTAAAAATAAATTTTCGTTCCTTGCCATTTATTACTAAACATATGGCACCAACCCAAAATCTTCAGGGTGAAACTGTTCAAAACTATTTATCACTTTATCAATACGACTTAATACTTCTTCTGGAGGTAAAAAAAGAGGGTTGTTGTGGATCATTACCACATGTGTTCCAGCTGCAACAGCAGAACGAACTCCGTTTGGCGAGTCTTCAAAAACCAGCACATTTCTGGGGGATTTTGGAGGTGACGGAAATCGTTTCATCGTTACCAGATACGCATCAGCAGCTGGTTTACCCTCGTGAATATCAGGATCATCATTACCCACCTTGAAAACTTTGAAATTACAAATGAAAAAAAGGACTTCTCAATTGCACAATATTTTTTTCCTCACTGACTGTCTAACCGATAAGCGAAAACAGGAGCACACCTCTGCATATAAGGGAAACACAAACAATTGTGAAAAATCAATCATGCTGTCTGAAAATTGAAATAAAACACTATATCCCGCAGTACTACATAAGTTTTTATCAACTTAGCAAAAAAGACTTACAATAGCCGACATCATGTCTGAAACCTCCTTATGATTCTGCAACTTTAGTTTGCATGCATCAAGTTGAGATCCTGAACAAATGGCCATTGGCACTTTACACGTTGCAAAATGACGTATTGTTTTTAGGACACCGGGCAACAACTGAGCCTTTAGCAATTCTGTACTGCATTCAGCGTCTACTGCATTTCCAATATCATCAGGAGTCATTACACCCTCAAGATCTAGCTAAAAACTATATACACTATATCAGACGTTATTGGGATAGTACTTGTAGCGAACAAAATTCAACTGTTCAATTTTAAAAAAGTGTTAATATACTGTTTTCTGTTTTGAAAAAACCTTTTTTCCATACTTCAAAAAATTTTGAATTTTGAAAAAATAAATAACCGAATTTTACCATCTGATGAACACAATTCAATGCTCCTTCTCGCGCAAGACCAGCAATGGCTGAACAAACGTCGTCGGTAAACACTTTACCAACCCTTGCCAAAACTTTTGTGTATACTTGTTTATATATGTCTTCTGAATCAACTAACGTCCCATCCAAATCAAAAATTACATGAGTTATCTGCAGCTGGACCATCTAAAAAAAACCCACCAACTATCTATTTTAAAAGAGCTTTCCTTTTTGTCACATTTGACTGATTATGTAAAAGTGCAAATAAATTTTTGTAATTACAATGCATTGAAGCTATTAACAAAATCAGATTGAAACTGGTCCAGCTAATAGAAGGAAATCCATAGATCTATTACAGCGAAAGTGAAAAAAATTTGCAAATAAATGGTACTTTTGTTAAAATTCCTGCTCATAAAACCTACACTCAATCCGTCGTACATTAAAAATAAGTTAACCTTCAAGATCTTGATGGCTGAAATAAGCTGAGACTCCTCACTTGCTTAATCAATATCGCTCTAGCAAGAAGTAATTTTCAAAAATCCTCTCCCTCACCGATATCTTCCAGTTCTCTCAGTAACGACCTTTTACAGTTTCCTGCTCAATTAATCTTCAACCAAAGTTCTTGTCAAACATCTGCCGTCGACATGGTACGTTTATAAGAGTTCCGAAAAGTTCTTTTCACTGCTAATAAGACTAATCTTCTGGACTATACAGAAACTACCTGCCATCAGCAAACAAAAATTATGACATTTAAATCTGAACGAGTGTTAGATGTTGTGAATACAAAATTTTAACAATTCTCATCAGTTACACCTTTGTCCAAAATAAACCTTTGTCAATGAAAATATCATAGAAATTTTTTTGGTAAATTTAATGCCTTTGCAAAACTATCGACTTTAACTCACCTATACCGTCTTTTAAAATAAATGCTGCAACATCTGAAAATCAACTACAAACTAAAGTGTAACAACAGTAGTAGCGCGAATGACTCCATCCTCCTTATGGCAACTTTCTTCCCATCGAATACTTTTCAGTATTTTTCCACTGCTGTTCACTTTCTGTTCAAAAAACTGTAATTATCCTCCAGACACCTTATTCATCTGAATAAATCATGATATCATCTGTTTAATTAACCCTGTCTGATTTAAAACCTAATCACAAGCTCAGGAAAAACCTCATGATTTAAGCAAGAACCAGCCTT